TGAGGGGGGTAATGGTGGGGAGGTGGAGGGTCAGAGTACTAGTGCTGGAGAGAGTATCGAGGCTTGGAGACGCGAGAGACAAAAGAGAGAAAGTAAAGATGCAAAGAAACGCGAGGAAATCCGGAAGAACATGGGCTTCCTACTTCGAGACGAGCAACTAGGTCACGATGACTTTACTCGGATGCATTACCGCTCTGATCGACAGACCAAGCAGCAGGAACTCGCAAAGTTGCAGGACACCGCGAATGTAGAGAGACTGAGACGCGGCTTGAATTCGTGTATCCTCGCTGCTCCTCCTGAACAACCAATTCATTTCGGTTGGGGACGTTTGGATAATTACAAGGACTCGCTTAGGTACGAGAATCGACAATTGGAAGCGGAGGAGAAGTTAGTGAAAGGTGTTTGGGGAGTTGAACATGGAGAGGGATGGTTGACTTCAGAGGAAACGGTTGGTTTTTATGGAGAGGGAGTAGGGATGGATTTAGACGGCATGACAGATGAGGTTTGTCCTCGGCTTCTTCTCCTCTTTCCAACAACCAAGGTAAATGAAAATCAACTAACATACCAAACAGATGTTCCAAGCTCGCTCCGAAGCCCAAAAGGATCTCGACACCGATTATTACGCATGCCTTGCCAAAAACGCTCAAGAAATGTTTGAGGGTCCATGCTGCGACTACTGTCGAGAAAAGCGAGTAAATGTTCCCGTTGAACCATACATCTCGATGTACGACAGAAGAAGTCACGTCCCGACTAGAAACCGACAAGGTCAGCGAGCTACCACGATCTATGATCAATATCCTGCCAATAAAAATATTGTCGATAAGGGCAAGTATGCTCCAGGACCGATTCAGGAATGGCCATCTTTTCTGGATCCTAATGGCTTCTTCTGATTGTAGAATAGGTGGGTGGTTGTAGTGGGTAGTGATTTACTAAAACCAAATGAAGGTGCGTTGAATTTGGGGATAGGTCTGGAGACATATTAGATGCGATGTGAAGGGCGGAAATGGATAGAGACATACATGCAGAGATGAACACGGAGGGGCGTTGGGCGTTCACGAGATACTCTGTACACATACAGAACACTATGATGAACAAACGGAATTGATTTTCTCTTTTCAAAGAGTCGAGGCAAACATGCCATCTCGTACCTAATATCCCCAACCTCTTGGATTAAAAGTATAAAAGAAAAATGTGCAAGTTGTCTGTGAGGACATCCCCTATCTAAACCCAACCCAAATCCAAATCTAGATAGCGCCCCCTAATAACCCCGTGTATTATTCAAGAGTAATTCCTTCAACATGAAGGGTCCCGGTATCGTCCCAGAACAGTGTTTCCCAACACTGGCACAAGGCCATGTATTGGCCAAGGCAACTATCCCCCTACTCGTTTTCTGTTGCCAACAGTATTCATCACCAACTAATTATGATTATGTTGTAGACACCCCCTACTAACTCTCCTCGCGTGATATACCACCCTCTTTCCAAGACCACAGCTCGCAGATCCAGCTCTCGAGTGTGGTCTTGAAGGTCTTCTCGCAGGAAAATTAAAATCGCTTTCCCCGTCGTCTGTAACAGCAGTAGAAGCTATTGCTTTTTCCTTCATCAGGGAAATACTATTTAGGATAAGATGTCAGCTTCATGAAAGGATATACAGAGTGGTATCCAAATGGATATACATTGGATGTTGTGCTTACTCGTCTTGGCTATAACCTGGGAAGTTCACCGCTGGTCCTTCTTGAAAGTTGTATGGTGAGCTCTGTGATGGGAGTCAGTAAAGTTTGATTGGAGTAGAAATTGTTCTGAGACTGACGATTATGAGGGACTTGGAAGCAGGCTTGGATTTGATGCCGACAGTCTGGAGGCATTTGTTGCCAATGCGGCAGATGAAAGATGAGAATTGTGAACAGGACATTTTGTTTTCTGTGGTGTAGGTTGCTATGGTATCGATAGGTATGGAAGTGTTTTGTTATTTGTTGTTGACCATAAGAGAGCGTGGGGTGTGTATGTTTTATGGTAGTAATGTTATGTGGAAATGTGGGAGGTTGGCAGCTGGAATTTCAGAACGACCCTGCCGAACGGATTTTGGATGCTTTTGAATAGGATGACGAAAAGATGACGAAAAGATCGCTCGCAGGCTAAAGAACTGAAGGGAAAGCAATAAAACTAAATGAATAAAACAGTCGAAGAAACAAATCCGCCAGTAATGATTGTGGTATAGGTGATATTTCCTAAGTTTTGTTTCTTGAGGAGTATGGCCTTCCCAAACTTCCGGGGAATCTGTCAGGTATATAAATGAAGAACAAAAAAATGAAGCTATTTGCTATCAGGGGCAACCCTCGAAATTACCAAGAGTCAGTAGTACAATAGGAAGCGGTTGCACGACATATGCCCAGAGCTGCCCATTCCCAGTGTCGCGGAGCAACACGACAACGTGGAAGGGTGACGCGTGCAACTCCTTACTCTAAAGAATGAGGTTTCCATGAGCCGATGGCTGGGAAAAGCATGCGTTGGCCGGTTCCAGACCTGAGGAATGCTACAACGGCGTTTGCCGAATCAAACCTTCAACGCCGAATATATTAAACAAAACCTTCAGGAGCTGAGGTGATGTTGGGCTGCGAGTTCCGAATTCGAGGGCTCTCGGGGTTCTAGGAAGCACAGCATGATGGACGGTTTCGCGGAAGCTCGACAGAACAGAAAGAAGACGTATGGAAGGGCCCCCATCGAGACTAGAAAAAGCTTATCAGGTAACACTTGCCCCCTTTTCCAGCCTCCTTGAATTTCTCTGCAGCAAGGTGTGGTGACCTCTGGTCCCGTGAGAAGGAAGGATATTTACGGATGTAGTGATTAACAAGCAATCGGAAAGAAGCAAGGGGCCACCCCCAGGTTACTGTACAACCAAGTTGCGCCGTTCGGGGAGGTGCTCTTCGGGGACCTCGTCATCTGTTGGACTCTTGTGTTTGTGCAATCTTGAAGTATTCTATGACTTTTCCACTGGGTCAGGTTGATGACATCCCCAGCCGCAATCACACTAACGTTACGGATTGTACACTTCGATAAAAAGCCACTTTGAAAAAAAGCCGATTTAAAATTCCGATCGAAGATCTATTGAACTATTTTTGCTCGTCATCAATCGTCGGGCGTGGGGGATAATTGGAATACTGAGGTCTCACAGTAGATGCAACAGATGTACCTCACTTGGGATAATCCTTGACGTGAAAGTTCTTCAGCTTGACGAATTGGTCAAACCCGAATTTACTGAGAGTGACTCCTTTGCCGGAATTTTTCCACCCGGTCCATGCAAGATCCTGCAAAACAGATTAGCAGATATAAGTTACAGTGGGATCAGCGTGTAGCCGTTCCCCGCAAGTTGGACCAGAGGCCGTATCTGGACAAGCTTACCGGGCTTGGGTAATCGCATCTATTGACGAAAACCGTTCCAGCATCTACCGATTCCGCTAGCTCGGATCCCTTTTTAGTGTCTTTAGTCCAGATAGAGGCGGTTAATCCAAATTCGCTATCGTTCATAAGCTGAATGGCTTCTTCGTCACTATTGACTTTCATGACTGGGATGACAGGACCAAAGGTCTCCTCCGTCATGACAACCATCTTATGGTCGACATTTGTCAACAAAGTTGGCTTAACATAATTTCCCTCTGGAGGAGGGGAAGCAAAGGATGCATTTTCAGGAGTAGCATCCTTGGCACCCTTGTCCAGAGCATCTTTGATATGGGCCTCGATCGCTTCCTTAGATCGCTTGGAGACGACTGGTCCAACGTGAGTTTCTTTATTGAAAGGATCGCCGAGCTTGTAGTTCTTCAAAACGGCTTGTACTGCTTCTATAAACGCATCGTGAATCTTCTCGTCAACGTAAATACGTTCTAGACTGCAACAACTTTGCCCCGAGTTGAACACAGCACCGTCAACAATTTCCTCTGCTGCCCATGCCACATCAACATCAGATCTAATATATGCGGGGTCCTTGCCACCAAGCTCTAGTCCAACGTTCACAATTCGATCCGCCGCGGCGGTTTGAACGGCCAGGCCACCTGCTACTGATCCCGTGAAGCATACTAATGCAACTTTGGGATCTCTGACGATGGCCTCAATGATAAGCGGAGAACCACAATGGAAATATTGTATAACGTTTTCAGGTAGACCAGCTTCCGTGAAAATTGAAAAAATGTGTTCGACGATGGTAGGCGTTTGTGGAGAGGGCTTCAGAATGACCGAATTCCCGGCAAGGAGTGCTGGAATCAAGGAGTTTACCAAAATTAGATAGGGGTACTGGAGAAGTTAGACAAGCCGAGAACAGTCGTGATACTACACTCACGTTCCAAGCAAATAGAATCAGAACAGGACCGACTGGCACTTTGCGGATAAAACGTTTGAACCCTTTCTCGGCCTCGCCGTCTGTATCCTTCAATGCCTCCTCGCTGATCTTGAGAAGGTACTCTCCTCTCTTGACAGCGGTGGTGACTTCTTTGGCAGTGTATGCAATCGGCCTTCCCATCTGTTCCGTGAGTTCTTTTGCGAGAACATCTTGCTTATACTCCAGGAGCTTGAACGCTTTCTTGACAATGGCTTGTCTATCTGCCAAAGAAGTTTTACGGAAGCTCAAGAAAGCTTCAGTGGCAACGGTTGGAAGCGCAGCCAGGTCGGAAGCCGATATGCCATTGCGAGTGAGCACGGGCTTATTGGTGATGGGGGAAATAGTGGTGATTGTTTCGACTGACATTTTGTAGGTGTTGAGCGAAGGCAGAATTATGTTGGGTCATGGAAGTGGGATATGAGTATTCTTACACGCTGGTGGAGCTTTTTGGAGGGGAAGCTCTCGACGGTACAGTGACGTCTGCCCCGCATCGCAGGGATTGGCGCGGCGCTAAGAAAAAGCCTGCAGGGGTCATCATTACAGTACAGCACCAAATTTTGTTCGCGGTTGAAGCCCATTCCACGACCATCGACCACCACTCCAACACAATGGCGACCCGAAAGCACAACGAATTCCTCGATGCCGACCATAGCGATGATAATGGAAGCCAAGGATACAACTCCGAGGTTGAAGATCTGAAGAAGGGCGGAAGGAGCTCAAAGCGAAGGAAGGTCGACAGTGATGCGAGTGATGTGAGCGACGAGGAACTGGACGATGAGGAGGAATTGGACGCATCCAAAAAATCCCAGAAACCCGAGAGACAGAGACGTCACTCAGGAAGTGCCGATGAGAAAGATATTGGTAGCGCAAAGGGCGACAAACTCAAAGAACTTCCGGGCGTCTCCAGGCCCATCACCAAGAAAAACCTAGTCGCTTCAAGCGCAGCGCTCAAACGATCCGGTGTGGTCTATCTTTCTCGAATACCCCCATTCATGAAACCTCCGAAGCTGCGATCGCTTCTGGAACCATACGGCAAAATCAATCGCATATTCATGACACCTGAAGACCCCTCTTCTCACGCGCGTCGAGTCAAGAACGGAGGAAATAAGAAGCGCTCCTTTACGGATGGATGGGTCGAATTCGTCAACAAGAAGAACGCAAAGCAGGCATGCGAGCTTTTGAATGCGCAGATAATTGGTGGAAAGAAGGGCTCATATTATCACGACGATGTCTGGAATTTGCTTTACCTGAAGGGATTTAAATGGAACAATCTGACCGAGCAGATTGCGGCGGAGAACGCTGAGAGGGCCAGCAGAATGAGGGCCGAGATTAGCAAGACTACCAAGGAGAATAAGGAGTTTGTACAGAATGTCGAGAGGGCCAAGATGTTGGAGGGCATGGAAGCAAAGAAGGCTGCCAAGAAGAGAGGTGACGAGGATGATACCCCCGTGGAGGCGAAGGAAGTTAAAGAGTCGGCTGTCGGTGCGAAGAAGAAGGGAGGAGAAAGACCACGACATTTCAAACAAACCCAAGTTGCGGCAAAACGAAAGTCGGAGGAGCAACCAGAGCAGGTGAAGAGGGTCTTGAGCAAGATTTTCTAACTAATGCAACGTACATATGTTTATAGGCTTCAAAACAATGGTATCCACTTCATCCTCTCTCGTGCTTTCATCCCGTCGGCGGTTGCTGGATTTTCACCTGGCTACCATCTCGAGAGCCGTGTATCTATTCTGTTCGACCACCACTGCTAACTACTTTCCTCCCTTCCTAGATGCTAGGATTAGAAGCGCAGATCATCATCCACCAAATCCTATCATCCCACTCCGAACTTCACTCACCCTTCCTCGCTTGCTACAGTAGCCTCTCAAAGCACCTCCAACACCCCCAACACCACCCCCATCCATCCTCTCCCAAAAAATTCCCAAAAATCCCACCCAAAAGCAAAAATAGCAAAACTCAAGGCCCTCCCTCCAGTCCATACTCGAGTGAGAAGGTAAGTTACGATTCTGATTTGCGTATGAGGAATGAGTTTTGGGTATGTGGTTAACTGGCTGCCTGCGAATGGGTGGAGTGCGTTTTTCTTGCTTGCTTGCTTGTGTCGATGTCGTGGAGGGAAGTCGCTAAATACGTCTGAGTATGATGTTAGCAGGTCTTCTGGGCACAGTTAGCAATGTATCGAGGTTTCTGTTTCCATTGGCTGGGCTTTAATGGCTATGAGAATGCGGATGTAAAGGGAGATGTCAGAAAAGAGCTCTGTAGGCGGCAAGCCTCGAGGGTCTTTTGATGGTTTGAATTCAATATCGACGTTGCGAGATGGGGGTGAGCGCGTTGGGCGGTTAAAGTAACTATCATTTGTTTCAGATCATTGGAATCAGTTGATATAAAATGCCCCTCCCCTCCCTTCTATATCTCTCTATCTACAAGCCAGTTCTGCGACGTCCCTCGTCTGTACAAAGGGATATGTAGAGGGAAGACTGAATCAGCTATTATGACTACTATTTCTATATTTGTGAACTTTTCTAGTTAGAGGGGGGGGGTTAGTAGAGGGGAATAGTAAGGAGATGGCTAGGGAAACAGGTAGGGACTTATATACTCGTAGGTAGGGATAGTAGGGATAGTAGGGATAGTAGGAAGGGACTTATAGCGGCCGAGAGAGTAAAAGAGATAAAGAGAGGGCAAGATGAGGGCAGTAATATGTAGGCGGTAGTCATTGAGTAGGCATAGTTGGCTTGAAATGTGGGATAAGTATATCCTAGTTACTCGGACCAGTAAAACCACTCAGAAAGATCGGGCCCTGTGTCTCGTCCCGTCCCGATCGAAAAGGTAGGAGTACATTGACTATGTAAGCTCGGGTACATAGAATCAGGTCGGGAGCACATGAGTTACTGGTATTCTTGCTCCCACTAGTATTTGTGACCTAAACAATGTAGTAAGCGAGAGACGATGAACTGGCCTATGAATTAAGTGTAACATAGCAACGTCAAAGATAAGCAAGTCATAGGGGCAAACATACTGTTATATTCACCTGGTTTCTCGGAGTGTCTGCTACCAAACACGGAGCTTGTGGTTGCCAAGCGACGAAGCCTGCGCTATCACGTTATTCGGACTTTGAACCCTGCTCTCTTCTTTGGCACCACTTGACTTTTTGAGAGCATCTCATTGGTCAATCTTTGCGCACTTTATTTGGAGCTCAAAAAGTCATTCCACTCCTCCAACCTCCTCTATCTCAACCATCCTTCCCACCACACACCTCCAGGTCACCGTCAACTACCACCACAACACTCCTCCTGTGCGCGGCCATTCTTACATGATAGACGCAATCATCTAGAAGTATCTCGATAGTTACGCATTGCGCGTCACCGATTCGGAGCGACCTTGTGCTTTTGCGAAAGACATGTCGCAAGCCTTGCGACCGCTCCTGTCGAGGCAGCTGGCATCAACACCACAACAACAGCTCAACGCAACCTTCTTCAGGCCACTGTCGCTATCAGATACAACATTACCATTGACACATCGAGATAGCAGCAATTTCTCAACTACTCGACTTCCTGGATTCGACCTGGTCTCGCCGCTGCGACGGCACGCGCGACAAAGCCAGTCGCAGCACCCCACCACGACCGCTCAGCGCAGTCCATTCATCATTCACCTATTCATACGGAATTTCTTTTCCCCGTCCGCGCCGTATCTTTCCGAGGACCGAGTTCCGAACTTCAAATTTCCTGGTCAGGAACCAAAGGTGAAGTGGCTACATTCACCCTGAAATAAGCGAGGCCGCCAAGCCTCGCTTCACCACTTCCATGCTTCAACACTTCCAAGATTCACCACTGCCCAGTTTCACCACTTTTCAACATGAGTGAATGCCGAAAACGTGGTTTGAACCACTTCTGCAACACTCACGTCCATTCACTGGACCTGCTGCCAGTGCTAGGCTCCTCTTACCTGACCTTTCCACAACCTCGCACATCTCTCACCATTCCCCTTTCTTGTGGTTGCCTGCTCTTTTTTCAACACAGCCGACGTTCCTTCGACCACGCCGGCGCCCCTCTCTAACTTGGACTACCATGATTATTTCTCCTCCGATATAACTCTTGAATGTTTTGATCGTGTTTTGGAGTACGATTGGAATGCATCAACGTATCCTTCCCGGCCCATTGTCGCCTCGCATTGACTTCGTCGTAAACCGTCTATCTTCGCCCCCTATCCGCCACTTTCTTACGCTATCCTATACGACGCGCTATCCCCAAGAACGTTTTCTAATACCGGATCTGAACACGTCCCCGTCTGAGAAGATGTAAGTACTCCGAGAAGTTACAGTTGTCAAGGCTATCATCCACTATCACCTAACCTCAACAGGATATCGAGGATACTCACACAGGAAAGCTTCAATGTTGGCGCGTCACTTACTTTGCACTCCTCAACGATTCAACTCCTTCTCGACGATTCAACTTCCCCTCGACGATTCAGCTCCCCCTCGACGATTCAACAACTCCCTCTCGACGATTCAACTTCCCTTCAACCATTCAACTCTCGCTCATGATTTAACATCCCTTCGACGTTTCTAATCCCTTGACGATTCAACTCCTCGACGATCCATCCCTTCAGCATCCATACTTCGCCGTCCGCGCCCACTATATTTGTAGCATAATATCATTTGATCACTCGAGATTCTTCTATACATTTGAATCGGTCTCGGCAAATATCTTCTGGCGCCAGCAGACAGGTTGGGTCAAACAACAATCGCCGATATCTCTCTTCGATGTTTCTATTAGCGAGTCATCTACCGGTATTATTTCAAAAACTTCTCGACTGTCCCATAGTCTGTTCGGAAGCGCATATACAAAGTTATCCTCAGTGGGAGTGTTGGTTATTTGGTGGAAAGGAAGTCTCAGGGTCTCTCGCCTTCTGGTTCGAATGTATGGAAGTTGCAAACATTGCTATATAGGATTAGCCTCCTCAACTCTACGAGACGATACCTCGCATTCCACCAGCATACAACCACGAACCATGAAGCACCCACTACTACAGTATTACGTCACTACTTCGTTCAATTGTCGATTCGCCTTTATCCTCTCCCCGCGGAGATATAAGTGATAGCCTTGTCGGCTTATCGGGACTATGCATGCCACAGGTCACTTTGAAGGAATGCGCTTCCTGGTCTCGCCAAGGCTATCTAACAACCCATTTTCACCGCGAGCTCGAAGTTGTATATTCTATCGATTCATTCTACGCAACTTAATTTCCAAAGGACTTTGTTCTTAACTATACTACAACAAACTTCGTTAGCTATCCCCTATGCCGAACCACGTTAGCTTCCTTCTTTGTCTAAGTCTACGTCTATTAGAGTCGCGGAAGGTCGCCCTTAGCAACGTCGTAACTTTGAATCGTGGATCGCTAGACAATTCCCTACCACCAAGGATAAATGCGCTACCTGTTAACCCATGAGCCGTACCTGGAATCACTACCGCGCTCCTTCAGAATTGTTTTACGACAGGATAGATTTTAGAACTTGCGAATACACGCGGCATCGTTTTTTAGTATAACTTGATTTCGTAACGCTTTTACAGACCCCGGGCCCCGGGCCCCGTTTTCATCTTGAGAAACCAACGATCAAGATTTTAGTATACCTCTTTTGTGACAGTCTTTACGACCTTTTGCTTTTTCGATGAATTCACGAAGTCCACGGCATCTAGCTATTTTTGCTCTACGTAAGAGAGAGCACGATATCTTTTATACGGTTAATAATGTTTTCATTCTCGCCCTCGCTCTACTTACGATATAACTATGGACCATTAGTACAAGGATACAAGGAATTTGTCTTTCGAAGAGTACCTATTATTACGGGTCTTCTTACTACTAGCTTTTACTTCGTTTGAAAGCTAAGGAGCGTAGATTTACAAAGCCGTTAGAACGAGAGATTGACACCTATATACTACGGAAAATCGAGAGACTTACGAGCTTCTACAACTAATAGTAACGTGGTTTATAGCGATAAGGGGAGATAGTATATATGTTTCTAGGAATTATTTCGAAGTATAACGATCTACTCTAACCTAGGGAACGGATAAGCACACGGATCGGATAGAAGGAGAAAGGAGATTACTAAAAACGGGCGATCTAAGGTAGGTTAGTAGATCTTAGCGAGCCGGTAGGAGAGAATAATAATATTAGCGACGGGAAGGGACGAACGATAGTAAGTAAGTGGGAGAGGCTATAGAATAATAAACAATTATAAGGAAGTACGTGTATACCTATAAAGGGAATAAGAAGTAGTATTAGATCTGGCCCGGACTCGGAGGTTTTACTATGTCTACTTCGAGATACTAACCTAGTAGTAGCGCGACTAGACCATGTAAGGGTGTAACAGATTTGATTCAGTCATACACCCTGACAAAGGGCGTGAAAGGTACGTAGGCTCGGAATCTAGGAAGAGATTAAATAGAAATAGAAATAGTACGTATTAAAAAGCGCGTTTAGGCCGCGGACTTTAATAAATACGAAAGATAATAGGAAGTAAATAGGCTAGGATTTAGGAATAGGATATTAATCGGTAATAGTAATAACACTCTATATCTGGACGAAAACCTTATACTACTAGACTTGG